CCAACCTTCCTTCTGAGGAGTGGCTGGTGGGTTTGAACCGTCAGCCTTCTGGTGAGCAGTCAAGTGCCTTAGGCACTATGCTACCAGAGCTCCTACTAACTGCCAACATTTAGGTTAGCAGCCAGATGCTTAACTGTTTCTGCCACCCAGGGACTCTCTAGTTAGATGAAGGCAAAAAGAAACAGAAAAAAAAGAAAAAAGTCCAAAATAAGCTTGAAAACACAGAGATAGACTTGTTTGGGATAGAATGGAAACATGGTACCAAACTGCTCTCAGAAAGGGAAATGTGGCATCACCTGTATGTGCTTCTGTGTGCCTGACAGGAGGGAAGGACAAAGGACATGACTTACATTATATGGCATAATTTAGGATTTTCATATTCCTCATATTTATAATAAGCATTATGGCCTTCATCACAAATATGAACAAAAATAAAAGCTTCAATAAATATAAAAGCTGAGTATATTATTCTGTAATAAACAGATTTGAAAAGAATGATGAGAGTTCAGATCAAAGTCCCTCTCTTCTCACCGATTCCTGAAAAACATGGCTGCCACCGAGATCAACATATACAGCATCTTTATCATATAACACACCACCAACACCAGAAAAAGGTGCATAAACCAACTTCTCTTTCTCAGTTAAACAGCGCTTCTTTTGCTGTTCAGGAAGAGCACAGGGGTCTGGAAGAAAACTGATATCATTCACAGCAAAATCTCCTACACCTGGAAGACAGAACACAGAGCACTTCAGCTGATAAGTCAATTAAGTGTTGGTAGAAAAGCCCCAGGAGCTCTGGTAGCAGTGCCTAAGGCATCTGTCTACTAACCAGAAGATTGGTGATTCAATCCCACAGACACAAGACTGGGCAATCTACTTTCGTAAAGATTTACCACCTCAGAAACCCAATGGGAGTCATTGAGAGTCGGAATCAACTGGATGGCAGCGGGTTTGATGTTGATGTAGAAAAGTGCCAAAGGCTTGAAACACATGAAAAAGGGTAGCGTTCAACACTGGAACTGTACCATCATCAAAGCAGAGGGCATATGTCAACTCAGTATCTTTGCGGACTGATGCAAACATGGGTTACTTTTTTAACCTCCATCGTTGTTGTTATTGTTACGTGCCGTCAAGTCAGACCCGACTCATAGCGACCCCTCCTTGGGTTTCCTAGGCAGTATCACTACGGAAGTAGATTGCCCTGTCTTCCTTCCGAGGAGTGGCTGGTAGGTTTGAACCGCCAGCCTTCTGGTTCGCAGTCAAGTTCCTTAGGCACTACGTTACCACAGCTGCTTTAACCTCCATTAAGATGGCTCTATCTTGTTTGACCATTTCTCAGTTTTCCAGAGAGCCATACCCAAAGTTGTATAAATACAGTAGTTTTACAAGATGATACCTGGAATGTGAATTTGACTTTTATCTTTCAAGTGTGCTCCTCTTAAGTAACCATAAAGAGACACCTTTCGATCACATTTGATATTTGTTCTAATATCTTCGGGGTTTGTCAAATCTTCCATCCTAGAAAAATACAAATCTTAGTCAAGACAGAAATGAATGTCAGAAGTTCATTGTACCTCTCTACATGTCAATGCCTTATCACATGCACTCATTTACTAAGCATTTACAAAATACAGAAATTCCGGGAAGCTCAGTTCACAGTCTACCAAAGGAAAAGGAACAGGCATCTCTCTTATGGTATATAAGATATGCCTTCCCTAAATAAGACATGAGAAATAGAAAATGACTTCTACCAGGAGCCAGGAGTAGAGAACATATTCAGCAAAACCTTTTTGTTGTTATTGTTGTTGTTGTTATGTGCCATGGAGTCAGCCCTGACTCATAGCGACCCCTCCTTGGGTTTCCGAGGCAGTATCACTACGGAAGTAGGATTGCCCAACCTTCCTTCCGAGGAGTGGCTGGTG